TGTGGATTGCAGCGAGAATCCTCGATGTCACCAAGGAAGAAATGAAGCTCCTGGTCAAGGACCGAGTGCACCCGGTGGGTGATATTATTTTCAGATGTTTTGCACTAGCTTTCAACTGTAAGTATATATCATTCGTGAGGGATGGCCTGAACCTTGGCAAGAATGGTTACACGGTCAACGTGAGCGCCATCATCTCGGCCATCGACCCGAACAAATGCGACACACCTCTGCTGGATTGGTGCCTTCGGAAAGGGCACTGGTTACCAGAGGATCACAACAAGAAGTGTGTCCGGGCACGAGAAGCCCAGAAGAACTTGGACGAGGAGTTCCGTCGACGAACTCATAGGCTGTCCATTGGGGACAGGTATGCGTCGTGAAGATGATGATTGTGGTACGATGTGGGTTAGTCCCCATCCGTTACTTGCGTCTCATCGACACTATTGCGATGGAACGACTTTGTGTCATGATTTAAATTCATGTGTCCAAGATGACTGGATGTGTACATGGTTACATATTCCGATGACTATGACGCTCTGGATATTCATGGATGGAACTATTGCCTTTTGGATGATATTTTTTTCATTATTTATGCATTGTCCATGGTATCTGGAATGGCTATGATTTGCATTGATTGCTCACCGATGTTTCTTTGCCGGAGATATGCAGACTGATTACGAGCAGGCGCCTCTGATGGACTTTTGTGGCCAACCCATTTATGGATGACAGCTGCGCGATGCGCAAATGCGGCAGCTGGATTGTTCATTGGTGGTCAAATGACGTGACAATAGTGTATTGTATACACCTGCATATGGGAGTGCGCTTCGATTGGTGGATGAATGTTTCACTTTTCATACAATCGAACCCGGCATGTTTCACAACGAATGAACGGTGTAGCGATAGCAAGTAAAAGAATGCACGACACGATTTCGTAGCTGAAGCCGTGGCCAGTGGAACGTTTTTGTGGTGTTTGGACCGCATGATGAACAATGCGACCCAAATGGGGGATGTTAAAACCTCCTGGCCCCGTGCCTAAATTGGGAAGCTGTTCTGAGGTCCGTGTTGGTGTTGCTTTCCAAGTTCCATTGATCGCCATTTGGCTCAAGACACAATTGAGGTTCAAGATCTGATGTGTAGCTGCATTCATACGTGATCGGCATTGAGAGCGGAAAACACTTCGCTTGCGCTGCATTTGTCAGGACCACTGTTGTAACTATCATTCCTTCTCCCTTACAACGTTTGCACGGGTTCGGCTATAACGGCATCGTCCGTATACACCTTTCTACGTGGTTGGTATTACAGCTGGAGGGTTCGGTGCATAGCGTCCCACGGGACGTCACCTTGCCGTCTCTTGACAGTTTACAACCATTCCGACCTTTGCAATCGTGTATGCTTGATCACCTCGAAGACATGCCGATTCTCAATATGATCTTTGGACGATCCGGCACTGCAGCTCCTTCGCCGAAGCCACTAGTGGAATCCCCTGCTCGCGACGAGGAAGATGAGACATTCGACTGCCCCATGGAGCAGGTCGCCGATGAGACTCCATCCGCCTCTCAACAACCAGATAATGTGAACATGGAGCAGGCAGATTACGATCGAGATACCGACAACGATGATGATCCGGATGAAGAAGAGCAACCTCCCGCAGGAAATCCGAAGCCGAAGGCGATGCCACATCCGAAACTGGTTCCGAAGTCACCACCACCGACGTTGAAGCTTGTGTCAAAGGCTAAGCCAGCGCCAAAGAATACATTGGATGAGGAGACAGAATCCGACAACAATCCTGGTGAACGACCTGCACTTCCAAGGCGACCAGCGATGCGGACAACTCTCACATCCAACGATCGGTGGTATACATCCGAGGAATCAGATACCGGCATCTACCTCCAGAGGATATCCGTACATCCAGGACCTTTCTGGAATTCTCGATTCCTCACCTTCGTGGCCGAATACTACAGGGAGTGCTCTACCATCCTCGACTCGTATCCGGACTTCCACTTCATTCCTGAGCATGAACGAGAACCTGGAGCCAGGGTATTCTGGTTGAGAGCCAGATTCAATGATTACTGGCAGCCAACACTCCAAGGTGAAGGCCAACATGCAGAGAGACAATACATGGACTTCGTCAAGAAGGTCTACAGTATCTGCTGCTATACCAATGCTCAGCCGGAGCGGACACCCGCTTCGTGGACCACGCGGTGATTGCGCTGAAACTTTGGGCTGAATCGGCCTTGGGCGCTGGTCGCCTCATCCTGCAGACGCACCACTTCCTCACGGCAGACCTTTTGGGGCAGACTTCCTCAGTGCTGGTGCAGCTGCGAACTTTGCTTCTGTCTGTTCACCTGTTGGGTCGGCCGGGCTGTAAGACGGCTTCAGACATGAGGGGGTATCACCTGAAGTTTATGCTCAACGACCTGTACGTCTTCATGGCCTGTGCGACCTGCGCCAACCGTCAAGAGCACCCGTTGTGGCGTCCTTCGGCAGAGTGCAAGTGTCGAGCTTGCAGTCGGCCGTGAAGATTTCGGAACCGACATCATCCCGATGGTATGCCATAACCGCATGATTGATCTTGACAGGACCGTCCAGAATGTTGAGCAGGTTTGCAGCTATTTCCACATGGATCCATCCAAGGCAAAACAGATCACCGACCTCATCCTCTGGCGAATCGAGCGGTTGAGCAGGTTGTTTTCCGGATGCTTTCGACATGATCCAAATCAGGGCACCCACAGAGAATGCCGACGACAAGTGGAAATGAATCCTGACGGATCCGTTGAGCTCTACGATAAATGCATTGGGACGCATTACACATGCGAGGAACTTGATGGGCAATAAGCCAGCCATCCGTGGACGGGTCATACAAGGAACGCAAGGACAAGGGATGCATTGTTCCAAGGAATCGATGGATCGACAACCTCACATCCAGATCCGCGTATGATGCACTCAGGCCTGATGGCAGAGGATTCCTCAATGATCCAGAGATGGAATTCTACGTGAGATGCAACAGCGGTCATACTCGACAAGTCAATCTCCAATACTTTGGACGCCCCCTTTGGCCTGGACAGAAGCGTGAACCTCGTCAAGAAGAACCGGACTACGGTCTTCCAACAGAATCCATTCCTCCAAGTCCGCATCCTTCAAGATCCGACGCGCCCCATGAAGATGAAGGCGCAGCCCAGGCAAAAAGGCCGGCGCCACCATCCATTAAAGAAGAGAGAAAGATCAAGCCGTTCGCGAAGAAGCCCATCACGTTCATGTTCCATGCAACATATGGAGATCAGCTGATCAGCATCATGGAGAACGGGCTCAAATCTGGGAAATTAAGTCAAACCCTTCGGGGAGAGTGCGCATCCACATGGCATGCATCGACGACGTTATCCTCGACGACGACGCGCCAGAAGCAGCATTGACACATGTGCCAACAGGAAGAGATGCATTGTTGATCCTTGCATTTGTCAAGGACCAGGACTACGGCATCCGACTCTCCGAAGAGCGAACAGCGTTGACAGGACAAACCATCGAGGCGAAGAATATTGTTGCAGCATTTGATTCGCCGATGCCTTCTTCAACTATGTGAATACCGACCAACAAAGCAAGGAAAAATCCGAAAATGATACATCTCCAGAGACCAAGAAGCGACGGCGCTCCACCAATCAGGACGAAAATGATGAGGAGAACATGGAACCTTTTGCAAAGAGATCCGTCAAGCCGAAGGTCACCAGGGAGTGTCACAACCCCGAGAACCTAGAAGAGTTCATCAAGGAATTCAAAGGTGACACACCTTGAAATGGACATGACCAAGAAGGACGCCGAGGAAGAGCTGAAGGAGACCAAAAGGAACTTCACCCGCTTCATGGAGAAGTGCGACAGGGATCCACAGAGAGCTCATCCCGAATTGACAGAATGCGAGCGAGCTTCATTGGCACATGTCGATCCAGATGTCAACCTCGAGGAAGAAGAATTCTATTTCCACCACCGAGGAGAATGGCCATCCATGGAAGAGTGCAGGAAGGCGCAGCCAGCATCAGGATATCCGATCAAGCTTCCATTTGGATTGAAGAAGCTCAGGACATATGACAAACCAGAGGTCACCCATGCATTTGCTCCAAACCAATCGCATGTTTTGTCCGCGGCGGACCTTCCGCAAGAGTGGAACTAT